AACCTGGAGCTGAACACGCGGAAGACAGTGGAGATGATAGTGGATTTTGGGAGGAGCTCTCCTGTACACCCTACGAGTCAAAAGGAGGGCAGAGAGGATTTCTACAGACCCCTCACACCCTGGATACAAACTCTTTGAATTCCTCCCCTCCGGACACTGCTACAGTTCACTGTATGCCAAGACAACCAGACGCAAGGACAGTTTCTTCCCCTGGGCTATTACACTGATAAACAGCTAGTCTATGATGGCTTTTTTAACTTTTGCTTTTTTCACTTGTATATATTTTATATTTATTTATTTTGTTTTTATGTTGTGCACATCGGGGGCCACTGGGCTGGAGTCAAATTCCTTGTATTTTTGAAATACTTGGCAATAAAGTTTATGCTTAGTTAGTGACATATAATGATGGATAGTCCTCAATGCTAATGCTTGAGGTGTGAAGATGCAGACATTTAAACAATCACCAGCAACTGCTCTGCACGTATGTGTCCCCTCCCCCTCATGTTCCTGGTACTTGATTTTAGTACTGCCTCCTGACGGGTGCTAAAATTTAGCTCACAGAATGCACCTCCAACGCAGGTGCACCATAGTGGAAACAAACACAGAACCCATGACGAGCGCTACTCGGCCTGACATGCTTCAGTAGGTTCCTATAATGGATAAACCCCTTAAGACACCACCAGACAGCAGAGTCTCACTGATGCAGCAGACAACCCAAAGGCTAAAGGGATCACAGAGAAGTTGTTCAATTTCATTACACTTGATGACAAACCACTGTCTGTAGTGGAAGATGTCAGGTTTATCAGCCTGCTGGAGCACTGAGAGCCCAGGTATAATCTATGATCCAGAAAATATATGTCAGACTGCTCTACAACTGATTATCATCACAGTTAAATGATGTTAAAGGCATGAGCGTTCATGATATTTGGACCTCAGCTGTGAGCAGTGTCGAAGGTGATCCCCCTATATTCCGTTACCACTTCACTGGACCCTCAAATACAAAGACAGGTGAGACAGATTCTTTATTAATAATGTCCTAATGTTGGCTACATTTTAAATGATAAATTTGAAATCTTGCAAAACTAAAGTTAGATGTTTATTTCTAGCCTAAAAGTGGAGATTTGTAAATGTGCAATAATTTGAAGAACTGTGTGTGTCCTTGGCCTCTGACCACCTAGAGGTTGCATGTACCCATCATTACTCATATTCAATTGTTTTGTTTTTGTTTATATGTTTTCTCTAGATTTTACATTTAGCAGGGCTTACACATTCCGAGAATACCATTATTTCTGTTTACTTTTCAAGATTCAAGATTTTTATTTGCCATTTATGCATAAACACACAGTCGAGTTGCTGTTCGCAGAGACTTAACTTATCCTCTCCCTGTTTTCATACTATCAGGCAACCAACTTACTGCCATCCTGCTCTCCCTGAACTCTGCGCCACTCTAGTCCAGTAGCCCTTCACCAAGACTGAGCTTGCCAGATTCCACCAGCTGTTTTTTTCAGCTGTATGTGCTGTTGTGATTTGACTCTTGCCGTTATTAAAGAAACCCCACATTCATACCATTGCCCGGGTTTGCACTTGAGTCCCACCTTTGTTGCTGCTCTTGCCTCCTGTTACAGCAGCTGACATAGCAGGTAAAATGCTATCTCTACTTCAAATGTACATAAATCAGACAAAAACCATGCACCTTGTAATTCTTTATTTCATTATCTAAGCAATCCAGTAATAGCTGTCTGTACATCTATGGGTACATTGCAGACAGAAATTCCTAATTCAGCTCATTTTATGGTGCCTATTTGCCAAAATGTAAACAAACAAGCTATAAATACAGAGCTCTTGTTGCAGCCAACAGTGCAACTCTCTGATTCCATGGCAACATTTCACTTTCTCTTTGCTTCCTCGAGGGCCCCTGAGTTAATGGCAACACAGTTCTTGTAGCTGTCTCAGTTTTGTCTGAGGAGAGTGTAAAACTTGAAGCCCCCATTCCAGGGTGAGTGGGCCATTATTTCTGGAGGACATGTAGCTGCTGAATATGATTTGTCAGTGCTTCAGGCACCTGACACTTTAACTGCATGGTTAACAGACTGCTGCGGAAATGTAGGATACAGGCGAATATATCCTTGGGTGTTGGAGATATAGTTCCAGGTCACCAAGATGCCCTGACTAAAGTAATCATGGCCCCTATGGTAACCAGTATCACTGGGTGTACAGGCCAACCCCGGTGTCTCCTTTGACCCTCCAACATTAAACAGCTCAGAGCTCTTAATTACATACAGTAAATTCTGTGTAATTGACTGCTAAACTCAGGGAGTACATTGTAGTCTATTTATTAAAAAGTGTTTTGCCAGACTGATATGTGAACATGGGGGAGTGATGGGCAATTTTGAGAATGGCTGGCTAGGTAGTCCTTCAGTATATTAAAATGCTTTGGTTGCTGTCTAAATCATTTTCAGGTAGAATGTGTGGATGTGTCTGTGTTTTGTCCACAGCGAGGACTTCTGACATGAAGTAAGAAGTGTGTGTCAAATGATGTTTTCCTCTTGTCCAGTCTCTTACTTTGCTCAAGAGACAGAAATTTTGTCAGTGGTGTTTTTTTTAATCAATTTATTAGCAACTGTAATTGAATGTATTGGATTGTTGACTGTTAGCCAACATCATTTACCTCATCATCAGTCATTTGTGCATGTATCTTTTTTAGCATGGGACTGAGTGACTCATATGAAAATTCTTCAGGATGCTTTTTCAAGTGCATTATTGAATAATTCCAGTATGGACATGCATAAACCATCTGTTAGTCTGCATTATCACAAAAAAGGGCATATGCATGATGATGGCAGCTTCCTGGTTGAACTTCATTACCAATCAAATGCAGTAAAACATAATTGGAATTTTTAAATTGAAAATTAAAAAAAAGCTAACTATCTTAATGCAACTGCTCTGTTACCGAATCCATTCATCCTGTTCATTTGTATCAGCTCCAGGGACTATTCAAGGCTACTTTCACCCTATAACAGAAGCAATGAACTTATAGTGTATAAGTACATAAAAAGCCACAGACAGACAACAGTTACTGTTTCCTCATAATGTCTTCTCAGAGTAACTTACTTAAGTATTCAATGTGTATTCTAATAGTCTTGCTGAAATAAGTCTCACTGGAATGTAAAAGCTCCAGGAATCTGACCCTATCCCAAAGCCACTCTGCCATTATTCACAGCCAGGTACATCTTCATTTTACCCTGCTTTAAGAGATAGAGCTGTTTGTGTTTACAAATATTTATATTCTAAAACACTGAGACAAATTTTGTTGAGCTGACTGGATTTAGAAACTTAGAATAAGCCCCAGCTCTGATACCTAACTGCATAACAGACCTGGGTGAAAAAAATGTTTGAATATCTATTCAAATATTTATTCCTACTCTTGGGGACCTTAAAAATTCACACCACAAGATAAACCTTATCATTATACTTCCCTGATGGATTGTTTGTTTTTCCCCTTACTTTGTGTTGTTACCCTTGTCAAGCTTTCCATGGCCACATATGCAGTTTACAGTGATAACAATGGCAGATTTAGAATTTGAAATTCAGAGTAATTTCCAAAATAGCATGTCCTTGATTTCAAACAAGTTCAGTCAAATCAGGCTTCTCATTTCTAGGTATTAACTGTTTTTTCAGTTGAAATGGCAATTGTTGGAGAATTTATCAGCATGCTATGGATACACACAGTATCATGTGAAAAGACTGGCATTAAACTACATATCCAAGGTGAAAACTCATCTTCTACAGCTGATGAACCATGTAGAGGTCTTGAATATACTGTAGGTAGCCTCATCTGTGACCTCAGCACTCCATACAGTTTTGCTTAAGGTATAAGTAAATAAAAAAATTAAAAATTCTTCACCAGCATCAAGCCCTCATCCAACTGTGGGCCAAAGTTATTTCCATGATCCCACAGATGTTTACAGTCACCCTGTGATAAAATGTATGTCCACTGCAAAACCAACCTTGAAATAAGATGTTTCCACAGGCTGTAACAATCCACCTGGGCACTTCTTCTTGGTTGTGTTAGCTCAGGTAGGCTTGCACAGCGGCTGGAGCAGTCTGTACTTCATTTATTGATTTCACCACAAGCAGACTATCACTGTGGGCTAATTCACTAAAGAGCAGGACAGAGCCATTAATTTTAGCCTAATCTCTTATAGTATACTTATATTCAAGCTCTGACACAGCAGTGAAGTGGTACATTGAGCATTCCAGATTTTTTCTAATCCAGCCTGTGAGTAACAGCTAACTGATGATGTGGTCCTTAACCTTTCAAGTATCTCCAGATTAGGGTGGCACACTGGTGCAGTGGTCAGCACCGTGACCTCACAGCAAGAAGGTTCTGGGTTCAAACCTTGTGATTGACTGGGGCCTTTCCGTGTGGTGCTAGCATGTTCTCCTTGTGTATGTGTGGGTCTTCTCTGGACACCCCTGCTTTTTCCCAAAGACATGCTAGTTAGGTTGACAAGTGACTCTTCATTAGCTATAGGTGGTGCTGAATTGGATGGTTATTTCCATAGGTCCTCAGCTAGTTTACATGCGTTTATTTGTAGCTACTGCTAAAGCTATGCTAATTCCTACATAATTGTATTTGTGTTTTTGGCTTTGGTAGGGACAAAAACCACCCTCCAAACCAGCCCATTGTTTAGCAAGCATTGCTCTTGTTATAGCCCTATAAACACTGCTTTAGCAAATCCAAGAAATCCAGAGCTTGACAGGCTGAGAAAGGGGTTTAGCAAACAGTCAGCTGTCATAAACACATTCACCCACTATTTCACCCACATCTACTGCATGATAGTGTTCCCCCAAACTCATCACACCATCTCTTTCCATATTATCTTCTTCCCATTTCCTCCCATCATCTCCCCCATCCACTTCACTCCCTCTTCCCTTTCCCCTGCCACTGGGGTCTGGAATGGGTCAACTACCCGCGGTGTGGTCTTTGCCCTTTGTGGCAGGTACTTCCATTCCCCAACAGACACTAAGGAGCTGCTCTACGATCCAGCATCCGTGATGAATGGTGACACGCTCAAGTTCTGCCTCAAAGAAGCCTGGTGCAAGCTGTCCTTCTTCGTCCTCTCCTTCTTCTACTATCTCTACTGGTGAGCAAATGGCAGACAGTGTGGGAAGATAATTGGATTACATGTAAAAGATTACAAAGAGATCACAGCTAAAGTAAACAACTATGAAATTAAACTGAAGCTACTGAAAAAAATCCTGAGACCTGTTTTTGGAAGGAAATGGTGAAATGAAATGTTTGATTTCAACTCATTTTCTATCACATGGTCATTTAACGTGATTTTCCAGCTCTGATAAAGTAATATAGTGCCTTTAAGCATTTAATGGTAATTATTTTACAGATAGTATGTTAAATAATCTAAATGAAATTGCCCATTGTGTTTTTGCTAAATATTCTGCTGTTGTATTCACTGATGCACACATATCCTTATTCTTGCCCAAGTCTGATAATGCTGTTATTAATCATTGCGGATTCTTGTTCCATGTGTCATGTGTGTGCTGCAGTGTGTGGAACCTGGAAATATCCCTCTAATAGGTCTTATCAGTGGGAACACTTAAAGGTACAATCCTCATATTTTTTACTTTCTTTCTAGGATAATAAGTTGAGACAGAATAGCATTGTTCTGAAAAAAAGACCTTAACAGTCTTCCATATGGTCACTACAGTGTTTGATAAATTCACCTGGTCTGCATAGCCACGTCAACTACAGACTGTAGATTGACGACTTGACTGCCAGACGTATTAGCACAGAAGAACATTTTTGATGACAGATTATTCAGTAACCCCAAAAGAATTTCAACTTTAACACAGAGTTGTTCTTGTACATGGTTGATAATGCTGTGATAAAACAAAATGTAACACATGCTTGTAGGCAAATAGTACTGTTAATATAGTTATCACAGTAATATGAGACAGTAGAAAGTCGACATAAATACTGATTGTGAGTGTTGGTCTTATTCTAGAACACAAAATGCTTTTTATTGTATTTATATGGTTTGAATAAAGCTAGCACCTCTACAGTTAATGACTGCATTCTCAAAGATGCAGTAATTATTTAAAGAAAATTGATAAAATAGGTATTTGTAATATCCATCCATCCATTTTCCTCCGCTTATCTGGAACCGGGTCGCAGGGGCAGTCTAAGCAAAGATTCCCAGACTTCCCTCTCTCCAGACAATTCCTCCAGCTCCTCCGGGGGAATGTCGAGGCGTTCCCAGGCCAGCCGAGAGACATAGTCCCTCCAGCGTGTCCTGGGTCTTCCCCGGGGCCGCCTCCCGGTGGGACATGCCTGGAACACCTCCCTAGGAAGGCGCCCAGGAAGCATCCGAAGCAGATGCCCGAGCCACCTCAGCTGGCTCCTCTCGATGTGAAGGAGCAGCGGTTCTACTCTGAGCTCCTCCCAGGTGACTGAGCTCCTCATCCTATCTCTGAAGGTGCGCCTGGCCACCCTGCAGAGAAAGCTCATTTCGGCCGCCTGTATGCAGGATCCTGCCCTTTCGGTCATGACCCAAAGCTCATGACCATAGGTGAGAGTCGGAACGTAGATCGACCAGTAAATCGAGAGCTTCACCTTACAGCTCAGCTCTTTCTTCACCATGACAGACCGGTACATCGACTGCATTACTGCAGAAGCTGCTGTTGATCTCCCGTTCCATCCTTCCCTCACTCGTGAACAAGACCCCAAGATACTTGAACTCCTCCACTTGAGGCAGGAACTCCTCCTATCAGGTATATTTGTAATATACCTGATATCATTTCCTCGGCAACGACACCATGTTCTTATAGCTATTATGGTGTGGATATTATTATATATTATGATTTTAAAGAAGATGTCTTTAAGTTTTTAATAGAGTCCAAAGCCATATGATATTCCACAAAAATGTATTTATTATAGTATGCTGCCTCCTGTCATGACAGTGGAAATAATTAGAAGAAAAAGAAAAAGGTGCTATTGACTTATGCTCATTTCATCCATTTCCATACCAGTGCCCATATCAGGCAGTAGATGAAGTCACATGTGCTGTCGATCCAACAATGAAGAAGCTTTGATGATGACTTTAAAGGACCAGACTGGTGGCTTTGCATTGTTTTAGCCCATAGAGTAACAGCATGTACTTTATATGCTTTTATTTGCACTTCTGTCAATAAATCCCAGTCTACTGAAATATTTCATGTTCTACAAATGCACTTTAACAAAATGTGAAGACCAGTGTCCAGAATGGCTGACAGTATGTGTGAGTGGTAGTTAATGGGCTAAGACATGACACATGGCTTGTATGCCTTGACCTTATATTCATAAACCTGTCTCTGTAGGTCCCATTATGGGCACTGGGTGTCTACGTCTACAAACCGAGCATTCATCTTGAAATGAAATCACTTTGCTTCTCCATCTCATTCCATCCTGTCCTGCTCTAGCTCATGTTAGATTGATGGCCTGTTTTAGTTATCACTGACAGCAGAGAAAGAAGTACTCTTCAGAGAAGGGTGATGGCCCATTCACTTTCAGTTCAAGAGACTTTTATAAGCAATTGAAACATATTCTATATATTATGGCAACTACATACAAAAAAAGAAGAAAAAAAAACAACTCATAACAGAATTAACTGAAAGTTGGCCATGATCTGATTTAAGACACCTTTGATACTGCAAGAAAACCCTTTCCTGTTTCCAGAAAGTGTTCTCGTTCACTGGGAACTGTCTTCTTCACAAAGAAAATGGTCCACCAGTGACAGTACAGCATGACAGCATGTACCAGTATAGCACAACAAGTTGTCTGAACCAGGTTGTGGAAAACTGGCATACTGTCAAAACTAGAACTGATTGAAGTTGTTTTGTCATTCACACAGAATATTTCTACAATTCTAACTGTTGCAGGGAATAACACATATAGTACTCTACAGTTTATTCAGATTAACTCCAGACAAGTGATTTGGAATCAACTTTTCTCCATAGTCCAGAGCACATGGATGATTAAAATGAACTTCAAATGTCCTGTAGTTCTGGCAATTTTCCAGATCAGTTAAGTTTAAAAATCAGCATCTGTCCAATCAAAAGCTCTAGGATTGTAGGTAAATTATTTTATTAGAGCAACTTTCGGGTTTAATTTTGATCTGCTGTGTTTTTATTATTCTTAAATCAATTCAGTAAGTGATTTTGTTTATAGAAGGGTGGCACAGCGGCACAGCGGCATAGTGGCCCTCACAGACACACAGATGAACACACACTCTCTTAAGCGCTTACCTCCACAACTGGGTGATTTAAAGTCCTCTTTGGTTGCTCATTGACACTTAGCTGGTGCAGATGATCCACTGGAATGACTCTATAACTTTTGATTTTGTGCATCTGGGTGAGCAGGAGGAGAGAAGCAAAGGCTCAGAGGGCAATGAACAAACATACAGTATATTGCTGAAATGCTTCATATTTTTGTTTACTAAGACAGATCAAATCAAATCAAATTTTATTTGTATAGCACCAAATCACAAGAGTCATCTCAGGACACTTTACAAAGTAAGGTCTAGACCCAACAAATCCCCCTTGAGCAAGCACTTGGCGACAGTGGGGAGGAAAAACTCCCTTTAGGGCTCAGCTCTTGGTGGGCGGCCTTCTGCCTCGACCAGTTGAGGTGAGTGGATAGAGGAGAGAGAAAAGAAAAGCAACAAGACACAACAAACACAACAACAAACAGTCAAACACTGGTCAGGTTGATTTGGCCGGTGACTGCTCATCAGAGCTCCAAGAGCTAGGGCAACTTGCAGAAAGGTACAGGGAGAGAGAGAGGACACACTATGGGAGAGAGGAGACACAAAGTTAGTGATGTGTAATGGTGGCATATAGATGCATAGAGAGAGAGAGAGGAGGGGAACAGAGAAACTCAGAGCATCATGTGGCCCCCCAGCAGCCTAGGCCTATAGCAGCATAGCAGATCAATGAGATACTCCAATAAATAGAGAATTAGAAACCAGTAACAATGTATTAATATTTAGTACAATGTTAATGCACTTTTAAAAGACAGCACACTTAATATTTAGCTTCTGTTCTACCTTGGTCCCATTTGAACTCCATGCTGCAACCACTGGATGATTGCCAGCGGGCTATGTGCTTTTATAGTCCAACAAGACAAATAGATTGGTGTCTCTTCTTTGCTGAAATGATTATTATCTTATTAGAAGTGTATCACTATCTTAATTATCTAGTTAAACTTTCATATCATAGTAGTAATTTAAGCTTATAAACTGAATCTTTCCTTCATATTTCAGGTTGTAGCTACTAACTGTCAGTAATAGTTAGGCTACTGCTCATACATAACTTTTTGGTGCCTTTCCAGCCAACAAAAGACAATTACAGACTTGAGATGAATTTGAGTTCATTTTAGTGACTGAGTTGTAGCTGGTATTTTTTAAACATATAAAATAAAATGGATCCAACCCATTCCTAGTTTCAAATAAATAGCTGTTACTGTCAGTGTCGTTAGATCTATTATTTAGATCTGTTTGCTTTGTGTCATCCCATGACTGCTTAGTAGGCAAGCTGTTATAGTCTTGTTTGTTTTATTTATAAGGACAATGTTCAAAATCTGAATTTCTGCCAACGTGCCACTGTTAGCCACCAGTCCTTTGGCACAATGTTCCAAAACCATTGAAGTTACAAGTTAAGAAATGCAAACACAGGACGATACAAGGCTGAAGTAACAATTCCAACAAAGTCAGCACTGTTCAGAAGGCACACAAATCATGCAAAGCTACAGGAAGCACTGATGCAGTACTGTAATAATAACATCCACTATTTAATACATGTATATTGTATGTAGCCATGCAAAGAAATTTGCAGTAACAGGACACAAATGACCAATACTATGGGTAATTATCACCTTTTGCACACATTAGCCATTCATTCACTGTTTATTTCAACAAGACAATGCTAAACCAAATTCTGCATGTATTCCAATAGCATGACTCTGTAATAAGACTCTGGGTGCTAAACTGGCCTGCCTGCAGTCCAGACCTGTCCCCTGTTGAAAACATTTGACTTGTTATGAAGTGAAAAATATGACAAAGAAAACCAAACTGTTGAGCAGCTGAAATCCTATATTAAGAAAGAATAGGAAACCATTTTGTTTCCAAAACTAAAAGTGTTGTTCTCCTCACTTCCCAAACATGTTCAAACTGTTGGTAGAATAAGAGGTGATGCAACAGAGTGGGAAACATGTCCCTGTCCCAGCTATTTTTAAAATCTGTTGCTGGCATCAAATTTAAAAAAAATTTCCAAAAAAAAAAAAACTATTAAAATTCTCAGTACTACTTTGTACTGATTTCAATTAAATATAGGTTTTAAATCAAATCAAATCAAATTTTATTTGTATAGCACCAAATCACAACAAAAGTCATCTCAGGACACTTTACAAAGTAAGGTCTAGACCTTACTTTTATCACTATTATTACAGAGGGAAAACCCAACAAATCCCCCTTGAGTAGCACTTGGCAACAGTGGGGAGGAAAAACTCCCTTTAACAGAAGAAACCTCTGACAGACCCCAGCTCTTGGTGGGCGGCCTTCTGCCTCGA